GAGCCTAGAATATTTCTTTCATGTCAGAAAGTGAAGGTGCTATCAAAGACTACTGGGGTTATATGAGACGAGAGAGGCACAGCTTTAAGAGGTTTCCATTGGCCAAAGATGGAAGGAAATGAGGCATCAAAAATAGTCGCTGCAGCAGACCGAAGCGCTGCAAGTGTGTGTTTAAAAAGAGAACAAGTCCTGGAAACATTTCTCAGAAGCAAAACAAAGCTCTCACAGCTGACCCTTGAAGAATGCTGGTCTCTGCTTTTGTTGTTGCTATGACCAGTAACCAGCAAGCTGTGATTTAAGAGAGGAAGCGCTTATGTGACTCATAGTTTGAGGGGTATAGCCCATAACTGAGGGGAAGGCATGGTGGTAGCGGGTACACTAGGCACCTGATCAGAGTGTGTTAGCAACAGGAAGCAGAGAGTGTACAGGAAGTAGAATGGAGTATAAAATCTCATGACATACCTCCGGAGATGCATTCCTTCAGTAAAGATTCTTTTCTACCTTCCAAAAGAGCACCATAAGCTGGGGACCAAGTGTTCTAATACTTAAAACTATGTGTCAAACCACATTTAAGCCATAATGCTAGGGGATGAACTCACTATTCTAAAAACTATTAAATAACAGGAAATAGTCAAGCAGCCATCTTGTCTGACTCATAAGCTTTAATTAGTACCATCACATGGCAGATGAAGGGTAGTTTTTTTTTTTTTTATTTATAGATTTTTTTCTAATATATTCAGGAGGAATACTATAATTAGAATGTCATTCTTTTGAACCACTAATGAAATAATGGATTTGGGCAATGACCATAGACAGCTGCTAAAATCATTAGGTGAATGGGGACTTTGTAATGGGTGATTAGACAGAATCCACTGACTGTACATGGTCAGTAACAGTGAGGTTTTAGGTATGTAGAAGATCTAGGAGCATGTGACGTGACCCATGCGAATATAATGAACTAATCTAGAATATGGGAAATGTGGTGGCTAAAATGACCCAAGACGAAGATGAGAGCAAAGGTAGCCATATATAGGTCGAATACCAAGAAACATTGCTAAATTAATCAAACTTTAAAGGAGCATTCTCACTCTTGCACACATGCACACACACATGCATGCACACGTGTACATAAAACACTGAGTGGTATTAGATGCCAAGGAAATAATGGTCTTTTGGCAATATTTCAACAAATTAGAAAAGAACCATTGTTTCATCTCTGTTACTTAAACAAGTGTAGCTTCCAGTCTGCCTTTGAGTCTAATTTAGTGCTTCTCAGAGTTAAGATTGTTTATTTTGAAGCTACTCAACACTTGGCCCCTGCAGAATGAATGCAGCTATAGACTATATAGAAAGAGGAACTCCAATGGTAAAACCCATTAGTATGTGGTACTTATGATATGGCTATGTATGAGCATCATGCGTATTGTAAGTCTTTACTCACAATTGTAGGAGAAAAGACACAGTTCAATGAGCATTGTCTAATTCATTGTATTTGGGGAAAATCTCAGGTTTCTGCATTTTAACAAGTATGGCAGACACTCCTAAGAGGTCATTGAAGTTATGAGGCCTATTTTTAGTAAGAAGTCTGAAGCTTTGAAAAACAAATAATTTCCCAAGGATCTGTAAATAGAAGAAAACAGAGTTCTGTTCATAGAGTAAAACCTTAGCTATGAGGTCTTTCTGCTCTGGGACACACTTACTGTCTGTGAGAAACAGGTAGAACGCACTGGGAGAGCACTGGAGAACAGAACAGGAACTTTGTGGTACACAGGACAATGAACTCATTCACATCCTTTAGAGCAAGGGAGAGACAGACAGAAGGAGGAAAAAGGAAAGGGGATGTGGGGTAAAATTGATATTCCCATGTAGATCTAGAATCTTGAGTGGTAAGCTTTAGAAAATAAAAACACAAGATACCTTGTTACAGTGGAACTTCAGACAAAACCCACATTCTTAGTTACTCATGTGTCCAGTGTAGTATTCATGGCTATAACTTAGTTGTTTTAAATATAAATTTATCTGGGTGTCTTGTACTTTTATGCACAGTCTTACTGATGTGAGAATAGCATGGTGAGAGCCTTTAGCCCAGTTTTAGTGGGTAATGGGTCAAGTGGTCAAGGGTCACCATGAAGCTGCTTGGACAGAAGGCCTAGAGGAGATTTTCTTGCTTTGTATAGGCTTGGGAACAGCTGATGACTTTTCCTTTAGCCCCCCCAGCTGACAAATGACTTTGGGGTAGATATCTGAAGCTTCAGTGTTTCACCTACCTGGTATCATTACTACAAGTGTGGAATCCTTCAAATTCCTAATGGTCTCTGATTTTAAAGAGAATTTTTTGGAGATAGTGTGACTCATGCTGCTTCATATTGATCCTCATATGTCTAGAAAGATGGCTTTAATGAGAAAATAGACTTAATAAAGAAGTTTCATATTCTTAAGTCAACATACATGATGGTCTAAGAAGCAAAGACCCTGATGAATCCTGCACAGGTTCAGTGACAGAAACAAAAGAACATGTCTTAGAATCCTATGACCACCTAATTTCTATATACTGGCATCTAAACCCAGTGAGCAAAGCCTCTCTTGAGCAATTCTTCCTTCTAGGTTTCCTAATTCCCAACTTTATTGGTCATGAGGGTGTATGAGAGAGGACAGAGGAAGGCAGTGATGGAGCAGTAGAAGATGTCCTAAAGCAGACAGAGGCCTCTTTTCCTAGAGCAATTAATTCCAAGTTTTATTTTCCTAGACTTTTCTAGCATCATTCTTCAGTATCTTTCCTAGATCTTATTAGTTTATGTTGCCCCTTTTCAAGGTAAGCCTCAAGATCCTTAAGAGATTCATTAGAGAGCTCTGATCACAAGCTGATATTACTCATGCAAAGCTTGGACACATCTTCCTATTTTTTTTTTTCTGAGAGGTGGGCACAATAGGGGTATCTGCTGCACAGGAATGGAGAAAGGATGAAATAAAAGAATATGTGACATCATTATTCATTAATAAGTATTGTTCTTATACTTGAGACTATGGCTTCCTGATAGCTTATGTCTAGGTAAGTTTTAGAGCGGAGATATTTGTCATCAGTGTTTATAATTATGAGTTATTAGATCACTACTTTTCCCAGTTATGCAAGGAAATTCATATGGGTTCTTATGGGCAATAAAGTAATTGTAGGAAGTTAGATTTATTATGTTGTCCAGGAGTATGTGAAGATGTATACAGTGAAAAATTATTGTATTGCGTGTGTACATATCTGCTCTTACTAATACCCAGAAGGTTTTTGTGTCCATGATTTTGAGGCAACCTTATTGTTTAATGCATGTGTTGAAGCTTAAGAAACTTAAGATCATTAAAAAAAAAAATCAAAAATCACACCAAAATTTAGTGTTTCTTGATTTCCATGGTTTGCTTGCTTTGCCATGTTAGAGACCTTATTCCTGGAAGACTATAGTATAAATCTCACCCACATTGGTGCTGCTATTCAATAAGGGTCTTTCAAAGGGGGCCCCTGTGACCAGTTAATGTTCTGACAGTGTCTGTTCAAACACTTAGACTCATCTCAGTTTGCACCCAGCACTCTTGAATTTCTTGTTTTCTGAACACAGAGATTTCAACTTAAAACTTTCTCTGTGTTGTAAACAAAATACCCACCAACTGAGACACATACTAGCATCAAATGGAGGGTTCCATTATTTAAAATTATACACCCAGAGTTGATGTATTAGTACATCACAGATTTCTGTTTTCAGGCAAAAAACCAGAGGGGGCAAACCATTCTAGCATATTCTATCACAAACATATTTGTTTTACAAAACTGATATTTTTATGTGTACTTAATATCTGCTGGTTTCTGTCTGTATATTCAAATGTTTGTTTTTAATTTTATGTTGGAATTTTAAAGTGTGGTACCCGATCATTGTAAAATTTCAAATAGTATAGAAATACATATAATAAAATCTGGAAGTAAAATCTTACTTTCATTTCTAAAGAAAACTACTGGTTTGGTTGCTTTCTGGACCCTTTTGTATCATTCACAAACTCACACACTATTACTATATAATTGCTGATGTTACATTTTTCCATTTTTACATGAATGAAAATAACAAAGTATGTTTATTAATGAGTTTCATTTTCATTTATTACATTCATTGTCCTGGGCAAACTTACATATCAGCACACATATCACTTTTACATTCTATTTTAATCATCGTATTTATGCCTTTAGAAACAACAATAAAAAAATGGTTTTGAACCAAATAATTTTGCCAAGACACAAGACAATAGTTTTCTATCACCTGGGTGGGCAGTGAAATCAGTGGATTCTAGGGCTCTTGTAGTCAGTATGGGTGGATAAAGCAAAGACTGTGCCCTCAGAGGCAGATTCCAGTCTCACCATTGACATCAGAGCATCGGGTCTCACACCTTCTCCTGCATCAGATAGCAACCTTTCCCTTTTTATCAAGTGTCATTGAAATACATGTCTATGCTCTTTTACTTGGCACCTCTTCATTTGTCTGTGGCCATTTGTAGCTATTTTGTGGCTTGTCTGCTCTTAGTCTTTCCTCATCTGTCTGTTGGTTTGCTTACCTAACTGATGTGAAGGAATACCATGATTCATTTGGTTTTAATTCTTTGTTTGTCCCAGCACTGGAGAGGCAGTAGCAGAAGGACTTCTGCCAGCTTAAGGCTAGCCTGGCTTACATGGAGACTTCCAGGCCAGTCTGGATGGGGCTGCTTAGCTAGATCATTTTACAAAAAATATTAATAATAATAATTATTATAATAATTTGTCTGTTGCATATGTTGCAGATATTCCTGTCATTTGTCTTTTAATTATGAATTTTGTCTTTGCTATTTAATTTTACAAAATTGTGTCTATAAATTATATCCTTTATGATTTTTTTAAGTGTATGTCATGTAGGAAGGTCTTCTACTCCTGAGGTTATACAAATACCTTTGTAAGTTTTCTTCTAATATCTTATTGTTTTGTTTTTTATGTTTAGCTCTTTAATCCATCTGGAAATGATTTTTGTATATGGTGTGAGGTAGGTATCTAAGTGTATTTTTTTAAATGAATAGTTCATTGTCCCAACACTTTAATTACTAACCCATCATTTCATATATTAAACTCTAGTATTTGTACATGGTTCCAGCCTTTCTATTTTGTCACACTAATATATTGTCTATCCCTATGCTAAACACAGGGTGTTCATTACATAGTGCAATAAAATGTTTTGCTATCTGATAAAACAAATACCCATCATTGTTCTAGTTCATCAAGTCTTTAATGAAGCAATCAGTATTCTGGATAAAGTTTGAATTCATTTTGCCAGTTTCCAAAACACATTCTGTTGTTTTTTTTTAATTTATATAGAACTCAATTTTTAAATTGTATTTGAAGGATGAATGAGAGACTTATACCATCAAACCTTATTCAAGAAAGTGATATAACTTTCCATTTATATGGATTCTCTTTTGTGTTCTTTTATCTGATAGACCTATACATCTTAACCCGGGTAATGTCTCAGGTTTTTAAGCACTTGGTTGATATTATACACTTTTATGTTCAATTCTGTTTTGAGTTATTATGCTATTGTTAGTGTAGTTCGGCTATTGTGTTTCTATATTGGTATCTTACTGAACTATAATAGTTTCAGTTTTTTTTTTTTAGTTAATTGTTTTGAATAACACACTATTCCCAGACAAAAGACAATTTTGATTCCCCTGTTTCAACATTTTACTATATATTTATTTTTTAAAATAGATTCTTTATTCATTCATCGAGAACTCTTCATATCATGTGTTATGGTCATATTTATGCCTGACTCTTCCCTGTAACTCCTCCCAGTCCTGCCACAGCTCCCTCATCCCCAAACTGTCTGCCCTCCTTTTTAAAATGTTATAACCCATTTTGAGTTTACTTCATTCTGGCTGTGTCCATCCACTGGAGTGTGGTTGACCTACCTTTGGAGAAGACTGTCTCTTCCCCTCAAACCATACAATCTCCAAACACCTCAGTCAGGGGCGGGGGCTCATGACTTCCTCCCCCTCCATGCTCTGATGCTGATACTTGGGCTTGTGCAGGCAACCACAGCGGCTGTGAGTTTTTGAGGGCACCGTTCCAGTCATGTCCAAAAGGAATTATTTTTCTCTGGTTGTCCCTGTCCTCCGGTTCTTTACAATCTTTCCTCTCCCTCTTCTTTGTGGTCCCTGAGCCTTGAGGAAGGGGTGTGGTACAGATGTACCATTTGTGGCTGAGTTCTTACAGGCACTTATCCTGTGAAGGCTGACCAGTTGTTAGTTTCTGTGTTATGTACCATTGGCTGCTTAAGGAGACTAATCAAGGCACAGAGAGAAATGTATTTAGAAATCATTTTGATGCTTTATCCATTTAACAAAATAATTACTTTGTTACATTGCCTCGGATTTCCTGGACAGTTTCACAAAATCAAGGAAAGAATGTCCCTTTTGTGCTTCTAAGGTTTTTCAGGCATTGTGATATTTAACTTGTAAATAAAGAAGTTAAGTTTTCTTCCTTACTCATAGATTAGGTATTTCAACCTGAAAACAGCACTAGAAAATTTTAGTGTCTTTTGAAAGAATTTTTTTCTTTATTTACTTTTTAATTAGGCAATGGGCCAGTAGATTTCCTAAGGCTGTTATTCTTGTGATACCTTTTTGAATATGATACAATAGGTTATTTACAACAGAGATGACTTTATCAGTTCTCATTATTTGTATTTATATATTTGAAGCTCTGTGTTCTTAGATCAATCCTGTTTTAGAGAAGTTTAAAGACACAGAGAATGGTTTGAGACAGTGTCTATGCTTTGTACTTTAAAAAACACTCATCAGAAAATAGCAGAAATCACAAACAAGACCACCTTTTCATTTTCATCCTATGTGTATTTTATTTGCTATAATTTTAATATTTTTCTCTCAAATTGTCAACAGTTTTCAGATTTTCATTAGTACTTTCCAGTAAATCAATTGTTGAACTTTCATTTTACAAATTAATGATTTCCAAATTTAGCATTTTACAGTTTTCTCTTCTACATTGCTTATTAACCTTGCCAAACAGTTTTAATAACTTTGGAAGACAAGCAATTCATTATGTAGATCAAGTAAGAGTTGTGTCTTTTCATCTTCGTTTGTTTGGGAATTGTTTTGATTTATACCAAATCAGTTTTGTTTTAAATTTTGTCTTTATTATTTATTCCTTATTGTTCTCTTTGTATTTTATTTAGGGTTTTACTGCCTTTTAAAATTGAATCCTTTCTTAGTCCAGTTATACTTTAATCATTCTAAAACTAATTAAATTCTATGTGTTTTTCTAAAGATTACTTCAGCTATATTCCATAGGATTCAATGAATAAGACTTTAGTTCAAACTATAGAAATAGTTTTAAATGTTATTTTCACCAAATAGTATTTTAATTGCTCCCAATGAAACATTTAATAGATTATTCCTTTGTTGTTATTTATAGTTTGCTTTATTTGGTATGAGAAACGTTTCTTGTTCTTATTGTGTACTTATTTTTTCTTTGAAATTTCAGATGTCCTTTGAGGTTTAATATGTGATTAAAGTTTGTAAATAAAAGATTTGATTTTAGTGGATATTAGCTTTCCATTGGGGTGGCTTCCTCAATTTTTAAAATTTTTAATATTTTGTTTTTTATATATGTAAAATCTCTGTATATTTCACAAGATGCTATTGTAGCACTTGAGTACACATGTTCATAATTATCATAATGATGGATTTTTTCCAACTTTATAACATTCCATTTGCAATAAACATGACATAAGCTTTTTAAATATTAAATTGCTAACATACAGGGCTTTTTAACTTCATACAAGAAAGAATACAAAATGTCTAAAAAAAGGAAATATAATTGGCCATATATATCTACATATTCATCTATATGAATATACCTGCCTGCCTGGGTATATGTATATGTGATTATATTTCACTTTTACTGCATGTACTTTCATTGTTTTATGTTCAATACTTTCTGTAATTTTATTTTAAATACAGCTTTTCTAGATAATGTGAACCTTGATTTTTAACCTAAAATTTTTCTCCCGTATTAGAGGTAGTAATAATCCACTTACACTTAGTGTCTAAGAGTTTTAGACTTCACTTCCATTTTGTAATTTTTGTTCATTGTTACTACTCTCCCCTTTTGTGGTGTTTTTTGCAAGTTGACAAATTTTGATGTTGTGTTTCTGTACCTGGTTAGAAGCTGTATGTAGCAATTTTTTTTTATTCTTGTAGAAGCTACTTTAAGTTTCTCTTAAGCATATTTAAGTGTAAATTGTTATGATCAATAATTGATTAGTATCTATAAGTGCTTTTCTCTCCTCTCCTAATGATAAAGTCTTTATTGGGCTTTTAATTATTTCTGTATCTACTGTTCTCTGCACTTAAGGTTAAAATTATGTGGAAATTCCATTCCCCATAATTAGGTGAGCAGTAGCAGCATTTGTACTGTTAATATTATTGGTAATATTATTTACTCTATGTTTCTATTTTATAAGAAACCTTTATTAGTTATTTTATTACCTTTAGCCACCAAATTAGCAAGCATTATTTAGATTTAAATTGCATTGTTGTGGTCTATTTACTCTATTGTTGTTGAATTCAAGTCATTACATATCATACATTTTTTTCTGTTATTCTAGAATCATCCTTTATCAATTCCTGGTGATTTTGATTTTGCTTTGTTTTCTTTGAAAGCCTTTGTGTAGTGAAGAGTCCTAGTCTTTGCTTCTCAGGTGGGAACATCTTGCATTGTTTTTATTGCTGCTACAAAGCTAGGCTGGTTTCAGAAGTCCCAGGGTACAGGTGACTTTTCCACAAATCCTGAAAATTAGTTTCTTCTAAGATGTTTCCAGTGGATAAGACATATACAATCTATCCTTTTAGATATAAAGTTTTCAACTATTAGCCATCTGCCTTCCAACGCTCATTGTTGATGTCCATCCAACTGGTACATCAGGGAAAGATATCTCTGTTAACAATTATTGGGACACATAAAAGAACTCCTTTTAAGCCAACAGCAAGCACTTCCATAACACATTTCACTTATTAACTGAATGATCTAACTTCTGATGTTCTGCTTATGATATAGTTCATACCTGAGTTTCAAAACATGTTGTAAACTTTCATGTATGCTAATATCTCTCACTCACTGGACAGTAAATATTTATGCAGAATTTCCCCCTACATCATATGGCAAATATTTTGCTCTTCTCAGTCACTTTCTCTTACCCTTGACTCTCATGGGTAAACACACAAATAGACAGTGTCTCTTGAGGCTAATTTTAAGGACCATATCCTCTGTGGTATATCTTACTAAGCGTTTTGAAAATTATTCTTTTTTCCCATCAAATTTCTTATTAAAACATGGACTTAGGGGTTTCTGGAAGTCTCCATTCTGTTCACATGATACCCGGATCTAAATCAATGCCTGTTGCCACTCGGATGCCTGGAGGCTCACACCATGATTCTCTTGGATTCCTACTGGAGTTTTCTTTAAAGAAGATTTTAAGATTTTACTCTAGTACCATGTTCTTCCTTCTCTCTCACTTCAGATCACCTTTTAGTTATAATGCCAAGTGTTACAAAGTCTGCCTTCTTCCCTTGGGTATGACCTATAGCTACTTTCAGTATGATGTTCACTGATGTGGGCATATCCATTTACATATGAATTCAGGTTGCCTAAAGCATGGCCATGTTAGGATCCAATGCATGGAGGGTACATTTATATAAGAAAGGTATAGACTTCTGGTTGATTCTGGCTATTTGGTAACTCAATGTGCCACTCTCTTTACTCTTTTTAGGTGGGAGGACACACCATGCTCCCCATCCGCTGGATGCCTCCTGAAAGTATCATGTACCGGAAGTTCACCACAGAGAGTGATGTGTGGAGCTTTGGAGTTATCCTTTGGGAGATCTTTACCTATGGGAAGCAACCATGGTTCCAGCTCTCCAACACAGAGGTAACAAAGGGACAGGTCAGGATCTGGTTTGGGGGAAGGTTGATGATAGACATCACAGAACAAGGATTGCAGATAGTGTACCAATAAGTGGGCTATAGAGGGAGCAGGGTGGACGCAGACAAAAGCAGGAGGCAAACCTTAGAGGAAAGTTTGTGACTACAGAAAGTGGTTATACCTGTGGTGGAGCATAAAATCAGAAGTCTAAGTCAAGACACAATTCAGGGTTCTGTTTGTTCTGCTACATATTAAAACAAATTCACTAAGAGAGAAAATGAAAACAGAGCAACTGTGAGTTTTTCTATTGTGTCATCTTGTGAAAACATCTTCTTAGTGTGTCTACCAAAGGAAGTCCCCAAAGGTTTGAGCTACCCCAGGTACAGGGATGCATGGATCCCAGAGTTGACTGAAAAGACCAAGGTCACATGATTAACGGATTTGTGCCCAAGAATAAAATAAACCATCTAAAGCACAATAATAGATACTTATCATATTTTTATACTTTTAATTTGCAATGAGTTAGAATAGTAGACAATGCATTTCAACAGCAAATAGCAATTGTCAATAGGTACTTTTCTAAGTACCTTTGATGGAGTAACAGTAATTTTCAAAAAACCACCTCTTGAGCTTTGGGACAATGAAAGGGGGTTGCTCGGCTTGGAAGAGACTGGGTATTTCATAGAACTAGACAAGGAGAGAGACCAAAATGTAAGGGTGGGCATGTGGCTCAGTTGATAGAGTACTTGCCAAGTATGCATGAAGCCCTTGATCTCCTGTGCCACCTGAATTAGGCATGGTAACACCTGCCCTTAATCCCTGCACACAGGAGATAGGGGTGGTAGGATCAGGGGTCCAAGGCCATCCTTTGATACAAGTTGGTTTGAGGAAAGCCTAGATCACTTGAGACCTTGCCTCAAAACAAGGCATTTCTTTATATCTATGATATCTTACTATGCAGGTACTCAATGGGAACTCACCTGGATTTCCAAAGTAGAACAAAAATTGTGGTAGACTTACAGAATAAGGAAAGAGTGTATATAGAAGTTCTTTGTTGTATTAGGTTTTCTTTTAATTGGTACTGTTTCCCTGTGGGATGAATACACACATTTACACATAAAGATACATGTATGGAACTTATATCCACGTAAATACACACATGCATGTGTCTGGGTACAACCTCCATGGTATTTAGTAGCCAAAGAAAGAAAAGCCCCTAGATGGGTGTGCTGTTGGTATTAGCAGAATCTTGTCATGGATCCCTAAGATGGCTAGAACAGCTAATGGGGTTGAAGATGTTGTAGTAAGGTCCTAACCTTGAAGGCAGGCTTTCTTCTTCAATTACTCCTCTTACTCCATCCACAGCAGCAGCTAGATACTGGCAGTCACTGGTGACTGTGGAAGTTTAAAACCTGAATGGGGCTGCTTTAGAAACGATGCCAATGGGTGCCTTTGATCTAAGCATAATCAGCAGCTATTGCAGCTTGAACTAGATCATTCTTCATGAAGGTGGAGAGAATAAAGGTGAAAATGGGAGAGAGGTCAGATACCATGGTAAACACATCATCTGGAGACTTTCCAGGCTGACCAAGAAATGATCCTAATGTGCCATCACAGACTCCATGATGAGTGTGAACAGGAGGGGGCTGGCACAGTGAAGGCCATTCCAGGTCAGGCTCTGTTTTACAGGAAGCAGAGATGGAGTCTGATGGGGAGGTGGGGGTGGTAGAAAAGGAGAACAGGCAGAAGAGAGGGACAAAGGAAGAAAGGAAGAGAGGGGCTTCTTTCCCAATAAAATGCATGCTAATGGGGAAGAGGAGGCAAATACTGCTCAGATACCAGACTATAGAAAACTTTTGTTTCCTTTTTTATCATAACAAACAATCTTCGAATGTGGAAACTGAAGTTTGAGGTAACCTGCTTGAATTCAAACAATAGTAAAGTTAGATATAGGTTAAAACAAACTTGAAAATTGGATGAAGTTTTGAAAAATACACATATTTCAGGTTCAGTAAAGAAATGTCTGGCCTTCCAGAAGGGCCCAAGGGGATGCTATGAACTGATACAATGTAGTCTTTTGAATGGAATAAGGAGAAGAGATTAAAAACGAAGGAAATGTGGATAAACTATGGCATTTGGCTAATAATGGGTTAATCAAATGTAGTGTGCAATATGCTGATCACAGGCAAATGGCAGGTCACAATGGGAACCATATATAATTTTCTCAATTTTCCTTTAAACAAAACTTGTTTTTTAAAACAGAGTTTATTTCCTTGCTGTTGTGAGTAATGCAGCCATAACCAAAGATGCTCAAGTGTGTCTGTGGTAGGAAGTAAGTCCTTTAGGTATATACCTGGGAACGGGGCAGCTGGGTTGTATGTTAGTATGTTACCACTGCTTTTAATGCTTTGAGAAACACCCATGCTGATCTCTAGTCTAGTTTCCAATGATTGTAAGTGTCACTTAACAGTGAGAGTGGGATTAGGTTATGAAACTAGAAAGGGGGTGATGGGAAGAGAAAACGAGGCACTGGCGGAAACCTAAGGGAGGGACAATAGGACACATGAGAAATGAGAGCAGAGAGGATGGTCTGGAGGTGGCGGAGGTGTACAAAGTGGCTTCAAGGGGAAGGACAGAAAGTGATATGAAGAGAATAAACAAAACCAAATAAGAGCCCGAATGAAGCTTAATACTGCAGCTTCTAATTAGAAAACTAAAGTCTAGTGTTAAAATTAAGGAAACATTGGAGAAATAGGGTATTACAGTGGGGATACACTTAGAGTATAATATACTTGTGTTAAAATGTCCTTATGTAACACAGTACTGTGTAGAATGGATACAAACCAATGGGAAAGTAAATAATTCTTTTAAAATGTATCTGGACTGAGAGTGTAGATAAGCAGTACAAAAATTATCTACTCTTGAGGCCCTGGGATCAATCCCCAGCATTTAAAAGGAAATGTCTTTTGGAATTGGACTTTCAAGAACATACCCAGGGCTCCTGCACCTTGCAGCCATCCTTTCAGTACAGTACCTTTTGTCTTGTTGCATTTGTTCTTTCTGTGTATCCAGATCCCAGTCTTGCAGACAGGGGTGATGAGATCCCAGAGGTTAAGTGACTGGAACAGGCTGGCCATGCAGGTAGTGGTGACTCCAGCAGCTCACAAAAAGCTATGGGCAACTAAGTGGCCTTCCCCAGGGAAGAGCACTGATTGGTTGTCAAATGGTCAGGCCTGAAAACATATATTCAAATAATGTTATATGGTCTGAGAAGGTTATATTTAGGAATATACCTATTCCTAAATAGCATGTATAATATATTAATATAATAGCAGTTAATAAAAGAAGAGGAATGAGATCGGGGAGGGGTATATGGGAGTTTTGGAGTGAGGAAAGGGAAGGGAGAGATGTAATTGTAGTAGAAATTTAAACATGTATATCAGTAAAATACTTTACAAAAAGTCTTAAAAGAAGTAAGTCAGGTGATTCATTGCAGAGAGGTGGGTAGACTTTGCTGAGAAACAAACAAGAGAAGTAGAGTGATGTGCACAGAGGCTGTGGCTGGGAGAAGAACTTGCTATAACTGGGAACCAGTGGCTAAAGGAAGGATCAGTGGATGAAACGCTTGCTGTAATGGCATGATCACTGGAGTTCAGATCCACAGAACCCACACAACATAGTTGAGCAGGTGTTGCAGCTGCCTGAAAATCTGAGCAGAAGGTAGGGATATCTGGCTAAAGTAGTGGCTGGAAATGGTGAGTTCCAGGGTTAGGGAGAGACTCTGCCTCAAGAGAAACAGTGGTACCCTAGCAAGAAAAATATACAACTTTGGGCTTCCACACTGCATGCATAAACACATACATGCCCGATTACCCTCTCATGTGACCCCATACAAACACACACAAATACACATGAACATGCAAACACATGCACACATGCATAGCACATACATTCACAATCAAATGAAAATAAATAGGAACTGAGAAGAGAAGGGTATGCAGGGAACAGACAGAGAGAGCTCAATAAGGGGTTTTCAAAATCACAGGTGCTAAGTGTCAGAGGAAGGGTGGTCAGGCCCAATCTCTACAACAAGGTAGGACAGGAATGTTGCTTATTCAGCCCACATGATAACCAGGACTGCAGAAATGTGAGATAAAATGGAAGGATACCTGTGTGGGCATGGTTCATGGGCTCTGGCACAGCAGGTACAGCACAAAGAGCATCAGTGAGCTCCACCTGCACTGCTCATCAGCGCTGCAAATCTGATCAGGCAGAGAAGAAAACAGGGACTGTCTTCTACCCAGATGTCAGGCTCTGCGTGTGGCTCTGATGAGTATAACTGATGTCTGTTGCTAGGTAGGAGTCCTGGGATCAAGGGTAAGCTTTGAATGAACTTCTGGATATAACTTCTTTATTATTGCCTTCAGGTCATTGAGTGCATCACCCAAGGCCGTGTCTTGGAGAGACCCCGAGTTTGCCCAAAAGAGGTATATGATGTCATGCTGGGGTGCTGGCAGAGGGAACCACAACAGCGGCTGAATATTAAGGAGATCTACAAAATCCTCCATGCTTTGGGGAAGGCCACCCCAATCTACTTGGACATTCTCGGCTAGTGTGACTGGTAGTCAAGCATTTATACTTTGTTGCCTCCTCTCTCCCTGGCTCATATCCACTTCTTCCTCATTTCAACTCTTTTCTTCCATCTGTGACTGAAATGAACATCTTCAAATAAACTCAAGTGCCTGCTACACATACAACACTGAATTAAAAAAAAAAAAAAAAAAACAAAAGAAAGAAACCCTGTAAGGCAGTTTGACATATATATATATTTATATATATAACTATCTATCTATCTATATCTACAGAGAATTACGTTCTCTAATACATAGAGACGCTGCTGATACAGAAAACCGTAAGACATTAACAAGTGAAAAAAATTTAAATATTATTAACACAAATGTAATTCCCTTGACTTAAGCTGTGGCCCATGCTTCTTTAGCTCTGGCTTTTCAGAGCTCTTTGTCTTGACCAGCAGAGAGAGAGAAAGAGAGAGAGGATGGGAGCAGCCATGGTGGCGCACAATCATTAATGTGCATGCGTGACCCAATTATGGTGCTTGGCAAGGAAACAATTCTGGAAGTCCATGCCCTTTGGAAACAGCTCTGCTCTGTCTTGACCTTTGCCTCCACTCTCTTCCCCATTTCTTCCTCTTTGGGACAATTTTCTAATTTGTTTATTCTACAAAGTATATAGTCCTCATGATTTTGCGAAACAATGATGACACCTACAAGTAAATACTGAACAAATACTAACACCAGATTACACAAGAGCAAAGCCATCCACCATCCGGATAAACACCAAACAAATCAGGGCAGGGGACTCCGGGAAGAGCAAACCCTAACCTTCTGGGTGTAAATCACTCTCAAGTTCCTTGCTAGGTTTGAAGAGATTCATTTGATCCTCTGAACCTGAAGAACTGGACTTGGTGGATTTAAAGAACCGAACTGAGGAAGTATAAACAGCTCCAGTTTGAATCCTACAAGGCACTGCCACTCATCTTTCCATCACTGGGGAGACTCCTTGGCTTGTCTTTTCATTTCCAGGCCCTTGGGGAAGTTTGGAGGTTTAGAATTCACATTCTCTGGTGTCATCTGCTAATGTGGACCCAACAGGCTTCAGGCTCTGATACTTGCTTATTTGCTTGTAGGTCACAATTAAGCATTCCCTTGGGTCTTACTTTTTATCTTGCTTCCCCAATATCCTGAGGTTCTAGCAAGTCCTGGGTAAACCCTATTGCCAGGAAGGAATCCAGGTGAGAGCCTGAGGCATGTGTGCTTCAAGGAGCCAGGCACTGGCTTTGGCAAAAGCCAGCAAGGAGAATCTTCTTGGCACCTGTGCTGGGCCCTTGGCATTCCTCTCACGTTTCCAAGCCCTTGGAAGGATTGATGCATCTGCCTTTGAGCTGTTGTGAAAAGGCAGGGACTGAGAAATCTCTTTGTGGGTTGGGTGTGTGTGCTGGGGGATGGGGAGGCTGAAGCTTCTCTGGAAGATGTCCAATGAGTGGCCAGTGCAGCACACTTAGCATCCTAATAAGGACCAAGTGCTGACCAGGAAGTGAGAATGAAGCCTCTGGGCTGAGTCCAGTCCTGTAGCTCAGCTCCTGGGGAAATCGCTGCCTTCCCAACTGTGCTGAGGAGGATGGCGAAAGAGAAGATCTCCAGACAGCTCTCAAACACGACAATGAAATGCCCCAGGGAGTCAAGAGCCAGGCTGCACAGAGCCCTCTTGCTGGGGAGGAGGGGATATGCTCTTCCTAGGGTACCTGTATCTCCACCTCATCCCAAGCACAGGGCTACCTAACAGTCATTTTCCTACTGGAAGCTCCTAGGAGACATTGATTTTCCACTTTCCTTGCCAGCTGAAGAAACCGTCTACAGCCTAGATATCATGGCCAGATGAAGGCAGCTGAAGTATGGGCAATTCTGTGGTGGGTTTAGGACTGGATTATGTGGTTTTGGTTTTGCCTTTTTTTTTTTTTTTAAATACCAACAAATGTTTTTTTTATTCAAATAGAAAAAAGCTGTGCTCAGATTGTAGCCATGGGTTGTGCTTTCAGGTGTCAGCAAGCCTGCTCAGCTGGACTGGGGAGAGAGCTGGGTATAACTAGGAATTTCGTGTGGAACTTTCTTACTGTGGTGGGTACCTGCCCACTGAGGACATCAGGGGAAAGCCATTGGGATCGATCGATCGCTTCAAAAGAACCCTGTGTTATCCTGTGCCAATTAACGTCTCTTATTACTCCTTGAATCAGTCCACCTGAGGCTCTGGTCTGCTGGGGATATGAACAATGCTGGGTGGAAGTTTTCAACCCAGTTTTAATCTGAATAACTAAAGGGGAGACATCCAGGCAAGGAATGACTGGCAGGGACAGGAGGGGGCTGAGGAGAAAGTGTTTTCCAGTTAGAAGTGACCCCCAAGGTCTAAAGGTTTTTTGGAGGGGGGTGGTGCTGGAAGAAATGGAAGGTGTTTAGAGCCTTAATGGAATAGTTGGGAGAAATGACAAGATTGAACTTGTTCAAGTGTCCTTGTCATAGTTCCACAAGCTTTGGCATTAGGTGCATCTCCTCTCTATACCCTCCAGCCCTCCAATATCAGCTGCTTGTGTAATAGTGAGTGTGTGTGTGTGTGTGAGAGAGAGAGAGAGAGGAGGGGGGAGAGACAGAGAGAGACAGACAGATACTCACACACACACAGAGAGAGGGCAGTGGAGTTAGGAGGGATGCAAGCTGGCATCAACCTTCTTACTCTCCCTGCATCCTCTCTGAGTAGAGTAGATTTTATGTGTGGCCCTTGGAAGGTGGAGAAAGGGCTTGCAGCATTTTGGAGGATAAGAACATGCAGATCAGGCTTTGGATGGTGAAATGTATTCCAGAACTATGGCTACGCAGAGTGTCTCACTCCTCCTGTACTAGCACAGGACATATATGACTCACTTCACTGTGTCATGTTTTCCTTGTGTGCAAAATAAGGGGTGCCCTCATTATGCTCCCACCCTATTCCAGCTCTGAACTTTTAGCTTCTAACAGCACGGAGTCACTGTGTCATTATTTTTTCTCAGCATCACTCCAGAATGCCTAGACAATCCTCCTTTGGCCTTGTGTGATCAGAAGGCAGTTGTCTCTGAGGACATAGTGTACTTGGGCTGGGGTTGGTTCTAGTAAGTCAGACTAATCCTCTTCTTCCCCTATGTTACAATGTGTAAGAGTCTAACGTGTCTGAGACTGCTTTAGGCTGGGGTGTGGGGAGGGGCACATTCTGTCTCATTCCTTACCCCAGCCTTTCCCTATATCAGAAAATTGTTATTGTTTGTTTGTTTATTTATTTATTTATTATTTATTTATTTTTAAAGGATCTAATGTGGTCCAATGAGTCTAGAATTGACATCCCATCAGTCTATATAGCCATCTGCTCCATCCTGCTTCCTACATAAAAATATCTACACCTTTGAAGACCATGCCAAATTGATATAGCATTTAGCTTGAAGTTAACTCCGTTGTGAAGGCTTGTGAATGTTCAGGGAATGTGTGCTCATCTATGTGCCCTGTCACTGTCACCTGGGCCCCTCCTGCACTGACAAAGAGTGACTTGGATATCCAATGTAGAGCAGGGTGTCATGGCCAAGGGTCCTTTTAGTTATTTGCTTTGGTCACAAACTTAATGCTCCTTTCAGTTCATCTCTGACCTGTGAGTGGTTGTTAAGGGTCACTAAGCCTTTTCTAGTCAATAGACAAAGGACTTTGGACTTCCTCCACTCAGCAGATCATGCACAAGTTATTCCCAGAGAATGCTTTTCATGGAGGTGAAGAGCCTCCATTATTTTTCTGGGCTTGAGCTGAACAGTGTTGTTCATCTCTGGTGATGCCTACCTTTTGGAACACACTAGTGCAAGTACTTCTGGTGCTAAATACTATGGGAAACAGTACCAACCTCAGAGCTTCAGAACAGAAGTAAGGCTGATTCAGCCATGCCAGAAGAGTACGTTTTACAGCAGAAAGGCCACTGAGAACCCTGCCGTTGTGCTTGGTTACCCATGTGATGTTGGCTAAATCAGCATTTCTTTATCAGTCTACCCACCTGAGGTATATAGAGTTAGAATCGGCAGACCCTTGGGGTCTATTTCAGTTTGAAAGGCTATTTTGAGTCCCATCTATACCTTTATTCTAAGGCTGTTCTCTAGAAATGAGAGTTGAAATGAAAGACAGGGAGAGAAAGGAAGAAAAGTTACAGTTGACAAAAACTGACCATAAAAAGAAAGTGAAGAATATTTAGTGCCTGGTATGTCTGAGGGACAGTGGTGCAGGACCCAGGCATACAAGTCAGGAAGTTGGTATTTGTGTTCTTCAGGAAAACTGACCTTTCCTTTGAGCCATCTTCCCAAATTCACATGCCCACATGGGTAGAAAGGAGTCTAGAATATGGAGACAGTCCCACCCACCTCCTATGAAAAGCAAGTAGCAATCTGGACTCTGGGTCAGAAACCAAGGGATTCTTATGTGTACATTCAAGATTAAGACTAGTGGCATACTTGCTTCACTCTTCTGAACCAAACAGCGGCAGTAAATCTTTACACTTACCTGGGAATTTTTGCAATGTTTGTAATTCTTTGCTTAGAGGGAAGCCTAGAAATATCTGTGGTTCTTCAGTCAATGAAACCAGATTCCAACAGTCCCATGAGCCACTCTCAAACATCTCTACACTATCAAGTCTGCTTTGGCTGGGCACAAACCTGCTAAAATACACAAGATGTTTATCTGAGAGAGACAGAGAGAGAGAGAGAGAGAGAGAGAGAGAGAGAGAGAGAGAGAGAGAGAGAGAAAGAGAGAGAGGTCACCTTGAGCTCAGATCTCAATATGGTTTTATTTCTTCAAGATCCACATTATTTGGTACCAATAAATTGTTTCAACCAGTGCTTAACAGGTTGGGAAGGAGAATTCCAAGTTTGGGCACTGTTATTAAAACATCAGTTTGGACTTCTGGACCTGTTTTAGGATTGCTTGACTATTACCAGGAAAGCATTCCTTTTCAGCTCTAGTCACATGCACATCATGCTTTCCAACCATCCATTTGATGAATGTAGAGTCAGAGAAGTTTCCCTGGAATCAGGAAATCAGTTGCAGTTTGGATTCTCTTTGCACATTATGTTTCTCCTGGATGAGAACTGCAGAGGTAGACTGACCTTGGAGATACT